GTCAACACTCAAAACTCAATAGCATTCCTGTACACAAATAACAAACTTGCTCAGAGAGAAATTAGGAAACAACACCTTTCACAAAAGTATCAAAGAAAGAAAAAGAAAGAAAGAAAGAAAGAAAGAAAAGACATACTTAGGAGTCAGTGTAACAAAGGAAGTAAAAGATCTTTATATGAAAAACCACAGCACTCTGAAAAAAAGAGGATATCAGAAAATGGACAGATATCCCTTGTTCTTGGGTAGGAAGAACAAATATAATGAAAATGGCCATACTAGGGGCTGGGGATTTAGCTCAGCGGCATAAGCACCTGCCTTGCTAGCAGGTGGTTGTGAGTTTGATCCCCAGTACCGATAAAAAAAAAAAAAGAAAGAAAAGAAAATGGCCATACTTCCAAAGTTGTTACATGAATTTACAATCCCATTCAAAATAACAATAGCATAACTCACAGAACTAAGCAAAACAAATCCTAAATTCATATGGAACCAGAAGAGACCTAGAATAACAAAAGCAATTCCAAAAAAAAAAAAATGTATCAGGCCCAAGAGATCAACAAAACAGAACAGAAGATGCAGAAACAACTCTATACACACAGCTACTATACCTTTATCTTTGACAAAAGGGCCACACATGTTCACTGGAAGAAAGATAGTCTATTTGATAAATGGTTCTGGGAAAACTGGATTGCTATTTGCCAAAAACCAAAACTAATCCTATGTTTCTCACCATGCACTAAAGTAAAATCAGAGTGGATGAATAGATAAATAAAATGTGATTTTCTATACATGGATTACTACTCTGCCATGAAGGATAAACTTGAGACATTTTTAGGTAAACAGGTGCATCTTGAGACTGTACTTGTAAGTGAGATAAATCAGACACATATGTTTAAACATTGCATTGTTTCTTTTGTGCAAGAAACTAAAGGGTATATAAGGATAAAAATGGATGACAGATATTAGGAAGTGGGCGGAAAAATGCCCAAATGGGAAGGGGAACAAGGGAGGAGGGAGGGAGCAGGGAAGGAAGAGAAAAGGAAAAAGAAGAGATTAAAAGAAAAAAATGGAAATACAGTTTTGAAGGAGAAGAGGATTAAAGTAAGGGGAGTAGAGGGGAGGGAAATGGGGGTAAAAAGGAAAAATCAAGGTATGTTATGTACAGGCAAAAATTCCCTTTGATGAACATGATCATCATGTGTACCAAAAGTGTATGAATAAAATTAATTTTGAAAATACCAGTGTCATTATTCACAACACTAAAAAAAAAACCTAAAATTCATATAGAAACTCATATAGAAGCACAGAAGACCCCAGAGAGCCAAAGCAATCCTGAGCAAAAAGAGCAAGGCTTGGCATCACAATACATCATTTCAAAGTACACGATAAAGTCACTGTAACAAACACAGCAAGATATTAACATAGAAATAGACACACAGAGAAGATTCAGAATAGAGGATCCAGAAATAAACCCACACAATTAGAGCCATTTGATTCTCAACAAAGGTGCCAAAAGCATACAGTGGAGAAAGGAGAATCTCTAGCAAATGATGCTGGGAAAACTGGATAAACATATGCAGAAAATTAACACTAGATCCCTATCTCTTAGCGTACACAAAATTTAACTCAAAAGCCCCACATCTGTAATCCCAGGAGGCTGAGGCAGGAAGATCATTGAGAGTTTGAGACCAGCCTGGGTTATAAAATGAGTTTGAGGTCAGCCTAGGCTACAAAGTGAGTTTAAAGCTAGCTTGAATTGCAAAGCCAGGCCCTGTCTCAAAAAGACAAAAAAAAATTTTTAACTCAAAATGAATCCCTTAATGTAAGACTAAAAACCTTGAAACTACTAGAGAAAAACTTTGAGAAACACTTCATGATATAAACATAGACAACAACTTCCTGAATAAAACTTCCATAGCTCAGGAAATATAGCAAGGATGGACAAAAAGAATGGTATCAAATTAAACAGACCTACACAGTAAAAGGAAACAACAGAGTGAGGAGACAGCCTATAGAATGGGACAAAATTTTTATCGGCTACTGTTCTGACAGAGCTAATATCCAAAATACATGAATAACTAAAAAACCTTAATACAGAAAGTAATCTGATCAACAAAGGAACAAACCAACCATACAGACTCTTCTGAAGAGAAGTGCTTATGGCCACTAAGTACATTAAAAAGATGTTCCACATCATTAGCCACCAAAGAAATGCAAATGAAAGTTATGTTAGAATTCCATCACACTTCCATCAGAACGGCTATCATCAAGAATACAAACACCTGAGTTCAATTCCCAGCACCCCCCCCCCAAAAAGAATACAAAAACCTGTACACACTGATGAAAATGGGAGAGGGAAACTTAGTAGAAATGTAAATTAGTACAGCCATATAGAAATCAGCATGGAGACTCCTCAAAAAGCTAAAAATAAATAAACAAATAAATAAGCTGTTGTTTCATCCACCTGCATCATTCCTCAGTATCTTTCCAAAAAAATTTAAGCCAGCATGCTGCAAAGGCACTGGTGTATCTGTGCTTATCACAGCTCTATTCCCAATAGCCAAGTTATGCAACCAGCCTAGAGGTCCATCAACCAATGAATGGATTTGAAAAATGCAGTATAAATACACGATGCAGCGTTACTCAGCCATAAAGAACTGAATCATGTCATTTTCAGAATGGATGGACTTTGAGCGCAGTGTGTTAAGCAAAATGAGCCAGACTGAAACAGAAGTATCACATGTTTCTCTTATGTGTGGTACCTTGGTGGGGGAAGGGGAACTCTCCAAGAAGAGGAAGCAGATGAGGAGAGGGGAGGATATATGGGCTAATAGGGACAGAGGATGTGGCCAAATATTTTATTTGCTTGTATGAAAAGGTCACAATGAAACTTATTACTATGTATAAATAATATGTACTAGTAAAAAGAAAATGTTTCATATAATGAAACACTATCTGGTAGTTAAAGGTGAAAAGTAACTTTTATATCAAAACACAAATGTCATACATTGAGTGGAAAAGAAATTTTAAAAACAATATATGAAACCTCTTATCAGTTAGAAATTGTAAAGCACACAGACCATATACATACATACATATATACATACATATACATATATATATATATTTTTTTTTTTTTCTTGAGACAGGGTCTCCATATGTAGCCCAGGCTGCCCTTAAAACTCATAGCAATCCTCCTGCCTCAGCTTCCCAAGCACTGGGATTACACATGTGTACCACCATACCCAGATAAGCTATATATTATTTAAGAATATAAGAAAGTAAGAACATAAAAACATGGGTTAGATGGAAAGAAACTGCCTTGAAATGTAGATTATAAAATGAAATAAGTTGTGTACAGAATGAGCATTCACTTTATTTGTAACATTTTAGTTCTTGTGAATAAAAATTAAAGAAACATGAGACGATATGAATTTAAAGTGTACTTGATACTTTAAAAATTATAATTCAATTATTTCTATTTCCTGTATTTTTCTTCAATTTAAAAAAATGTAAAAATCCTTAATTGGGAAACAGATTTCAGAAATTAACTAAAAATCACCTGTAATCCCAGCACTTGGGAGGCAGAAGCAGGAACCTCCTTGGGAGTTCGACATCAGCCTGGGCTACAAAATGAGTTGAAAGCCAGCCTGAACTGCATAGTGAGACTCTGTCTTAAAAACAAAAAGACCATGCCTAAAAGAAGAAATTAACTAAAAATGCAAATAATTTTGTTTAGTAACTCACAAAATATGTCCCAAAATATCAGCAATCCATTCACTAGAAAAGACACCAAACTATGCCAGTAAAATGTTCTTGGAACAGGAGCTGGGGACATAGCTCAGTGGCATAAATTCCTGCCAGGCAAGTGCAAGGTCCTGAGTTCAATTCCTGATACCAAAAAAAAAAAAGTTCTTGAAACATTATTTGACATTCTTCTAGAACAGCATAATCCTGTTCTAACACAGCTCGGTTACAGGCATTGCAGGCTCAACAGTATAATAAAACCTATTTCAAAAATAAAAATAAAAACCTGCATTTCTATGGCATTAGCATCAATCTAGAACTCTAACAATTCAGGAAGGTTCTTTTTCCGCTTGTATCCTGGTAAGCTGCTACAACTTGATTTCTTGATGAAAGCCATTCTTTTTGAAGTGAGAAGGAATCTCAGTGTTGTTTTTAATTTGCATCTCATACAATTGAGTACTACATAATAAGACATAAACAAGAATAAACTTAAATTATCTGTAGGAAAATAGACGCACCCTGAGATTGTAAGGCTAAATAAAATAGAGTCAGACATACAAGCTTAAATGCCAAACGGTTTCTCTCATAGGAGAAACTCAAAATATAAATAGCAAAATAAAAGATAATAGGAAGCAAGAAGATTCTGTTGAAATGGGAAGGCGATTAAGTGACAGGGGAAGGGCTGGAGAGGGGCGGGGAAAGGAATGAAAAAAGAATTAAGGTGTATTATGTACACTTACCAACTTCCCACAAGGAATGTAATTATTATGTAATACAAATGTGTACTCATAAAATAAAAACTGAAAAAACAATGTAAAAGTTGCTTACTATTTATAAAAACAAAGCATACATACCTCAACATCAGAAAGGCAATTTTTGTAAAATACATTAAAAAGAAGATAATTTTTAAAATCTTAAAGCTCCAAGTGTAAAGTTCAGCTGATGTTTAAAAACTGGTAACACTGGGGCAGGGGATTTAGCTCAGCGGCATAAGTGCCTGCCTCGCAAGCAGGCAGTCGGATCCCTGGTACCCATAAAACGAAAAAAAAAAAAAAAAAACTGTTAACACTTCATAATCATTGTAGAAAATTCTTTTGTCTCTTTCCTTTTTTTATCGGTACCGGGGATCGAACTCAGGACTGCCGCCTTGCAAGGCAGGCGCTTATGCCGCTGAACTAAATCCCCAGCCCCAATTGTAGAAAATTCTTGAGAAGTAAAAATGGAAAGTCTAATTCTAAGAATGAAGAAACATTTACCTCAGAAACAGCTAATGCCCAACAGGTTCATCTATAAAATAAAACTAATTTAAATGTTCAAAAGAGGAAAGCAAATGTCAATAACTGCATATTATGTAATCTACTCAGAAATCCCAAGGATTGATGTTTAGAATTAATTAGAACACCACTAGAAGGCGGAAGGCGCCCGCCCCCGAGTCTCCACCCGCCCCGCCCCGCCCCGCCCCGCCCCGCCTCGCGTCTCTGCCCCACCCCCGAGCGCGTGCGCCCTTCTGGCGCATGCGCGTAGGACAGCGAAGAAAAAGATGGCGGGCTCCAGATTTCGGACCCCGCTGTATGGGCACGTGGGTCGTGGCGACTTCAGCGATGTGTACGAGCCCGCGGAGGACACGTTCTTGCTGTTGGACGCACTGGAGGCGGCAGCGGCCGAGCTGGCGGGGTGCGAGGAGGGCGTGGGCCCCTGCAGGAGCGGGCTTTGGGTGGGTGTCCTGGAGAGGCGGTGGCAGAAGGCCGACGAAAAGACCGTGACCGCCTGGGCCTGAGGAGGCGGGGTCGGCCCGCTTTCCGGTGATTGACAGCACAACCCGGGAAGGAGGATTTGTCCGCCCTTCCGCGGACCCCAGGGCTGGGGACCAGGGTGCCAGGGATCTAGCTGCCCGCCAGTGTCACTGAGCCCCGTGCCTCCCTACCTCGCTGTACTGTAGCTGTTTAAAAAGTACCTATCCAAAAGAGCTGCGATAGTGTGATATGCATTTGGAAACGAAATAATGCATTGCTTCATTTTAACATTAAATATGTAATGAATATAATAAGTCATGTGGCATCTTGTGGTTCACTCTGCACGGGACAAGCATCCTCTAGTAACGGAAGGGCACTCAAGTGAAAGGTCAGGATGGAGCGCGGGAGTATTTAAAACCCACTCGGTATATTTTGTAGCAACAATCCTTTGCCGCACGTGGCGCTTGAGCCCTGAAAATGTGGCTGGTACCACTAAGAAAATGAATTTTTCATTTAATGTAAACATCCTGTAATTAGCCTGTACAGTCCAATCTAGTCCCTTGGTTTGAAGTATTTACCATAAATTTTTAATCATTACAAAATTACCTACACTAATTTTTCACCAATTTTTGGGGTCAGACCTGTTGAATAAGACATGAACTGGTTTTCTTCAGGATGAAACAAACAACCCTCCGGTTTCAAAGATCTATATTGCATTTGTTCACACTTCATTCTTAGTCAAATTATTTCCACGTATGAAATTCTCCAACTCTTAAACTAGTTTTAATCACAGAAGTTGGAAATTTGGAATTTACAGAAATATAGCGTTGAACAGTACTGTTTTATAATTTGTCTTTCTTTTTAAGATATTCCAGAAAGATACAAATTGCATTGCAACATATGCTATAAAAGGAGCTGATTATTTTTGTAAGTTGTGGATACTTCCTGTCTTGGGATTCATATTACTTATGAGATTATGGTATTTTTAAAGAGAAGCCTCTTAGTAATTCACATTATTATACCACCTTAAAGAACTGTCAGATGTGTGAGCTACTTTCAACCTTAGGAAACTAGTTTTTTTGAGATAGTAGTTTGAGTTCAGTGCTATGAAGTATCCTAAATTCTATCAAAGCCAACCTTTGTAATAAGACTTATTGGTACTTTTATTGCATGTATAAGATTATAGGCACGGAAATACATTTAGTTGAAAAATAAAACTTCAAAGTGAAGACTTTATTCAGTAGTATTTCAGATTTTCAGCGTTGTGAGATCAGATTCTCAGTTTCTTGATTCAGCATAAGCTGTACAGAGAGGAATTTCTTTGCTACTCTAAATCATTAGAATACGGGAAGTTTTTTTCCTAAAACACATCATTAGGTTTACCAAGAGTAAGTACTTAAAAATGCTAGAGAAACTTCTTTCATGAATAAATTTTGTAATAATTCAGTATCATTTTAGGACATACTGAAAAACTCTGTGGGAAGGGACAATGTCCTTCATATTAATTATCCCAACCCAAAATTAACACAGTTTCATAAATATTATGTAATGTTTTGTTGAAACTAAGACATTCCCCTATTGCAGTATGTAACTGAATTTACCATATATTGGACACCGAAAATATTAGCAGTTCTTGGCTATGCAGTATTAAGCACACTCATTGCCCAAAACTACAAATTTTTAAAAATGTCAAATTTGTGTTTTCCTATATTTGTGAGTATTGATGTTGGAGAAATGCACTTTAACTACCATGTGAGTTATTTCCTGTAAATTGTACTTTAATATTAGTGTACTAATAATTTGTTTTGCTGGGTTTTTTTAAGAGTGGAAATATGCCTTGAAGTGGGGTCAGGGTCTGGCGTGGTGTCTGCATTTCTGGCGTCTGTGATAGGCCCTCAAGCTTTGTACATGTAAGTAAGACAAGTAACATCTTGGTGCTAGGCTGCCTTGAAACGCATCACCTTTGATACTCAATATGTTTTGTCTTGAAGGTTGTGTCCCAGGATCATCATTTCTTTGAGACTTGATGTGAAAGCTAGAACTTGTCAGTGCCACTCAACTCCTTTCAGCCAAAGCAGTATTTTTAGTAGTCATCATTTTTGGTACTTATCACACATTCCAGAATCAATTCACAGTCAATACCAAGGCCCCAGTGTATGTACTAATTCATCTAGTCATCCACTGAGAGATTCAGTCGGATTGAACAAAATAATTGTTTTAATAGATAGGTATCTGAAGGTGTAAATATAGTCCCAGACCACAAATTATGCATTCTTAAGAATTATGATTTTGGGGCTGGGTATTTAGCTCAGCTGCATAAGCACCTGCCTTGTAAGCACATGGTTGAGAGTTCGATCCCTGGTATGGATTAAAAAAAAAAAAAAGACAAAGAATTATGATTTCACGGGGCTGGGGATTTAGCTCAGCGGCATGAGCACCTGCTTTGTAAGCAGGCAGTCGTGAGTTCGATCCCTGGTACCGATAAAAATGAAAAAAGACAAAAAAAAATTTAAAAAAAAAAAAAAAGAATTATGATTTCACTGTCAAAATGGTTCCGTCTAGAAACAACATGTTTTTAGATCATTTCCAGATTTGACTCTTTTTTTTGGGAAATAATTTGGCTATCAAAAAAATGGAAAGTTAAATTTCTTCATAGAAGGTTTGAGAAAAAAATTAAAATTCACCAATGGAGTTTACCACATATAATCAAAGTATGTGTCCTTTGGGATTTTTTTTCCTGTGTTTTCATTTGTGAGCATTTTCATATCTACATTTTTTACATTTCATTTTTGGGAACTTCATGGTATAATAGTTAAATAAATTCCTTCAGATGTGTGCATGTATATGTATGTTCTCTTGCTCAGTATAACTGTCTTTTGTCACTTCAGTAAATGTTTGTTCTCTTTTTCTTTCTCACTATTAAACCATTCTTCTTTGTGATTCCTGTCTTGAGTAGAAATCACAGAACACTCCATGAACTATCCCATAACAGATTTGCCTTGTGGGCACAGGACGTAGTTTCTACTCTATTCTGGTTACAGGTGCACTGATGTTAACCCGGAGGCCGCAGCTTGTACCCTGGAGACCGCGCGCTGTAACCGAGTCCACATCCAGCCAGTCGTTACGGATTTGGTGAGCCAGTCATCCTTGCCCCATAGTGCTCAGTTCCCTGTTCCAGGAAACTACGAGTCTAGATGCTGTAGGTCAAGGAAACTTTAATAATTAACTTTTGATTTGCAGACAGTACACCTTATACACAAGTAAGATCTTGACTGACACAGTGTCCAACAAAGTCAAGAAGATGAAATCAACAAAGAGGAGGAACAGGTCATGGGCAGGTGAAAGCAACAAGCTGACACCTAGGAAATTTTATTTTAAGAAGTTAACATTATACATGTTTTGGTTTTTTTTTTTTAATTTTTGTTTTGTTTTTTTGAATAAGGATCTTTTTTTTTTTTTTTTTTTTTTGGTCTTTTTGAGACAGGATCTCATTATGCAGTTTAGGTTGACCTTGAACTCACTTTGTAACCCAGCATGTCCTCAAACTCACAGTGACCCTCCTGCCTCAGTCTCCCAAGTGCTGGGATTGCAAGCATGAGCCACCTCACCCAGCTACCAAACAGGGTCTCTGTGTAGTCCAGGCTGCTCTTAAACTCAGGCTGACCTCAAAAATGCAGCAGTCCTCCTGCCTCAGCCCCCTAAGTGCTGTGTTTACAGGTGTGTGCCATCTTGTCCAGCTAACATCATTCATTGTTGTTGGTTTGTTTAGTACTGGAGATCAAACTTGACCTTGTGCTTACAAGGCAGGCACTTATGCTGCTGAGCTATGTCCCCAGCCACATCATGCATTTTTAAGTTGCAGTTGTTAAGGTATTTTTAACATAGGGCCTTCACAGTGAGCTAGTAAGACTTGGAAAAACCTTTAATTTTGTGGGGTTTTGGTTTAGTTATAAACATGTAATATCTTTTTATAAGTGAAGTAATAATAGCGTAGACGAGGGGGCCGAAAGAAATACATACTTCTTGATCTGTATTATTTTCCTGCATTAGTAAGGATAGATCACTTTCCTATTTTAAATTGACAGATTATTTTGTAGCTCAAAAGGAAATTAAGCCAAAGACACAAAAAGAAATTTTCATAGTACTAGATGATTTTATTGGATTATGTGAATTACACGACATGGTGGGCTAATTTTAAAATTTTTAACTCATTTTCTTAGTACATTCATTATTAATATTAAATACATTTTTGAAAGAACAGGAAGACTTTTAGATAATAAATTCAGAATAAATGCCTATTTTTAAACAGATATAGAAGCTGAGATGAAGTTTATTTTTGAAAACCACATAGTTAATCAAATGATAAAATCTAGAGCTTCTGAATCCAAATCTAGAAATCCCATAGCTATCATGGCTGGTGGTTGACCATGGCAAGATTACTTAAAGTTGACCGTGACGCTACTCACTTTACAAATTCTTAAAGCCTGACACGATGGCCCACACTTGTAGTTCCTAACATTCAGGAGGCTGAGGCAAGAGGATCACCACAAGTTAAAGGCCACCTTGGGCTACATAGTAAACTCAAGGCTGCCTGGACTGCAGAGCAAGACCCTGTCTCAAAAACAACCGAAAAAAAATTTTTTTTCAACAAACTCTTTCAAACTCTGCATTAGACTGTATTCAGGACATGGACATCCATTTTTTCACAACTGTAATAAAATTGCTTTGAGTAGCTGAGTTTACCTGTTTAAACAGTAACATTTCCAATGTATTATATTTTTAGTTTTAGAAGCAGGTCTTTGAAAGTATACATTAGTCTCAGTGCTAAGGTATTTGCATTGCATGAGGCTCTGGGTCTCAAAAGCATACTGTGTACTTCTTTATATACTTAATATAGAGCAAACCTAATTTTACCTTTTGGGCCCTGGGGGAGGGAGCGGTTTTTGTTTATTTTTGTTTTGTGGTACTAGAGAGTGATCCCAGAGCCTTTGAAATGTATCATCAGCTTTTTTTTTTTTTTTGATTTGTATGGACAGAGTCTCTTTTAAAAGTCATCAAGTTATACAGGTTGGGATCCTCCTGCCTCAGCCTCCCAATCTGGTGAAATTATAGGAGTGAGCCACTATGCCCACCTATGATTTTACTTTTTTTTTTTTTTTTTTTTTTTTGGTCTTTTGGAGACAGTCTCGCTATGTAGTTGAAGCTGGCTTTATAGCCCAGACTGGTCTTGAATTTGCAATGATCTTCCTGCCTCAGCCTCCCGAGTGCTGGGGTTACAGGCACGCACCACCATGTCCAGCTGATTTACCTTGTATTTTTTCATCAATAGCAATTATTCTATGTACAGTAATGATTAATACGTATTAAAGTGTATTTACTATTACACTAAATGGTTGAATTCTGCAGTGGTTTTGAGGTTTTTTTCTTCCCCTTTTTTCTCTTCATAGAACTTTTCAAGTGCTATGTGGAAGAAAACTGAATAACCAACTTAGTTTGAGTTGTATTTAAATAAAGATCCAGGAGCTATGAGTAAAGTCTGTGTTCTGCGGTTGGATTTAAAGTTTTTTGCAAGAGGCCTTTTTTGCTTATTTCTTGGAAATAATCCAAGGTTGTAAAAATATCTAAAAGCTAAATATGGATGGATGAGATGTCAGTAATTATGAATTTATGTCTACTCCATAATAACTTTGTTATTTAAAACCAGCTTTAACTCTAAATTGTTTGCTTTTTACTATTAATTTTTCCTTTTACTTAAAATCCAGTACTACAGAGATTATTAGTGTATTGTATCTCAGGGCCCATCATAAACAGTTGCAAAACAAATTCTAATGTCCTTAATATTTCTGGAAAAATTACACTTTGGAGTTCCTTTCTCCTACCATGTAAGAAATTTAAGTTCTTCATGGAATTGCAAACAAAGCTTTTGGTATTTTCAAATGTGCTCCCTCACTCCACTGCTATAACTGAGTACAGTGCTGCGTCATCTCAAAAATATGACTAACCTGCTCTTTCTGAAGTCCAGTTTTAACAGGCTTACTAGCTTGCTTAAAATGGAATTGCTTACAAAAACCCGGGTAAATGGAAATTCTGAGAGTCTGTTGCATATGAATTTTTGTAAGTAGCCACAGGATAGGTGTGATCGTTAGGCAGTGTGACTGCTACTGAGTGACCTTGAATCACAAAATGTAAATGTTCGAATAGCTCTCAATTTAGGGTGCTTCCCTCCACTGTCCCATACACCCATGGTACTAGGAATTGAACACAGGGCTTCACAGTGAGCTACGTTCCCCTTCTCCCTATTTTTTTATTTTTCTTGTGAGATAAGATCTCACTTGCTTGCTAAATTGCCTAGGTTAGGCTCGAATTTGCAGTATCTTGCGGAGCACTGGAATTACAGGCATGTGCCAGCACCAGTGCTTTTTCTTTAAAATTTACAAATGCTTTTTTTTTTTTTTAATTTTTTTTTTTAATCTTTTTCTTTTTTTTATCGGTACTGGGGATCGAACTCACGACTGCCTGCTTGCAAGGCAGGTGCTTATGCCACTGAGCTAAATCCCCAGCCCCCTTACAAATGCTCCTTTAACAGAAAGGAGATCCTGGTTACTCCAAAATTGGTAAGCATAATCCTAATAGAATTTTTTTGTCTATATTGCGTTTATTCTTAGAATCATTTTTATTTCCAGAAAGTAATACCGATTTTCCCTTTACAGAGTAAATAGTAAGTGGGAAAGTCTCCCTTTATATTTAATTCATTTAACAAAAAGATACATTTAAAGAACAATTTCCCACAATAGTAGCAAATTGCAGATACGGGAAAACTAAACTGTTAATAAGATAACTAACGTTTTGCATAGTGCCTCACAGCACTTTAATATTCTACTTCAAGAAACAGCATGGAATCATGGATAAAGTCAGTTGGGGATAAATTAAAGGAAGCAGTCTGGAGAATGATGAAGGAAAACCACTTTTTACTTTACTCTTTCTCTGAAGGCACATAATGATGAAATCAAACATGATTTTTAAGTAGTTACTTGATTGAATCAGGAATACTTTAATGGCACATCACTTTAAATGTACTTTCTTTAAAAAAAAAAAGTTTCTTCTTGTTCAATAGAAAATTGTACCCAGTTTCAGGTTTTTCAAAAGAGAATACCAAACAATTGTTTTTGTTGTCTCTAAACCAGTATATTCAGCAATTTTTTTCTTTCACATTTCATTCTTTATAAGTAAGTGACGAAATTTTGTCTCCTGCTGTGCTCTGTCCTTTAGATTTGTTTCATAAAACATTTCTCTTGGTTGGAAGGAATAAATATTTAAGTCAGCAAGCATAGCTATGCATTTTTGTCCAAATCTATGCCAGCTGCGTGCTACAGAAAAAAAGCTCACCTCCTATTTTGTCTTCTAAAAATAAACCGAATGTACACCTGTGTGCTGTTGAAGCGCAGAGTCTTTGCTGAGCATTTGTTTATTGTGATAAATAATAACGTTCATCTGAGTGAAACTAATACTCTATGTCTGTTTCTGTATGGAAGTACAGCTCTATAATGCATTTGTTTCGGAAAACAGTATTTTTGTTTCAAATGCTGGGATTACATGCAGCCCTCATGCATGCTAAGCAAGCACTCCACCACGGAGCTAGATCTCCAGCCCAGTAGAGTATGTCTAAAGATTTATCTATTAGTTATTTAAATCACTGTCCAGCTTAACACTTAGTGTTGTTTAATATGTTTAGGTCAAAGGCTTGCTACCAAGATTGAAGGAAAAAGTTGATCTTCTGGTATTTAATCCCCCCTATGTAGTGACTCCACCTGAAGAGGTAAGGCTACAACAAAACTAATTATTAATCCTTTCAGCTGTTTTGTTTCTAAAATAAAATTAACTTTATCATGTGGCACCAATCAGTTGCTACTAATACAAACAGCTCTGATTTTGTCCTGATTGTCAGTATTCAGACACTGTTGGTAGACATAAGAAAGGAGCCTGTAACTTACGGAATACAAATTGTGATTCATGTCTGACCTTAAAATCCTCCCCCAAATCAGGCTATGGTGTTTAAATTAATATATTCATATGTCTCATGTATCTATGTACCTATTTACCTAACTTATATCATGAATAGTAAGTTTATAAGGCAAAATATTCCTGTATGTATGTATGTATGTATGTATGTATTTATTTATTTATTTAGCCACAAGTTCACATAGGGATTTTTTCTGGAAATTTCAAGTTTCCTTCTTTCAAAGGTATTACCAGAAAGTAGATAAGATCAATTCTCATTTTAGTTAAGGGAAATAATTTGTAGAAATATGTGATTTTTTTAAATCTTAAGAGTAAAGAGGTAAACCATATTAAACCTTTCCCAGGAAGAGCAAGGCAGGCAAAGTTTGATGACAGAGATTGTGTTGATTTTGTTCTCTGATGATTGTTGTTTGGCAATGGTGACAATCATTACACTCACCTCTGCCAAGATGGGACACATCTATGTGGCTGCTATCACCACTGGTACAGTTAGACAACTAAAAAGCCATTGCTGTATTGACGTAGGAACTTGAGTGAGAAGGAAGGGAGATATTGCCACAAGGTGAATAACAAGGTGCTGCCGTCGAAAAGTACCACTGACAGGTAATTTATAAAGAAAAGAAATGTATTCCTCGTAGTTCTGAGACAGGGAAGTTCAGTACTGAAGTGCCGGCATCTGGAGGGGCCTTCTTGCTATGTTACAGGACGGTGGAGGGCAGCACATACCAGGAGTGGGAAAATATTCATAAACTGAGCTTCCTTTCATTTCTGGTTCACACACTAATCCCTTCATGGCACTCTACCCTTACAACCTTATCTAACTCTACTTTCCTCCCAAACACCCACCACAGAGTAGCTCTAAATATGAGTTTGGGGAGTGAGTTTCCAACGTAAGAATTTCAGAGAGAGAGATTTCTACCATAGCATGAAGGAAATGCAATTTAAAACTCTTAGGGAAAGCACTGTGAGAATATCGAGAGCGATAAAAATATTGTGATCTGATAATCTCAGCCATCGAGGCCTAATTTAAGAAAGTCAACAGTAAAATAAAAGTTGAAGTTTATAAAAATGTTTATCACATCTTTATTTCTGATGGCAAATAATGTGAACCTGTATATAAAGCAGAAGACAGTTAAATCACAAAAACAAAAGAATCAAGTTATATCACATATAGATACAAATTCCTTATGATGAATGTGATCATTACATAAAGTGTTCCAAAAAAATTAATAAATAAAATCATGTCAGATTTGCAATTCTGAATGAAGAGGCAGTTCAAGGAACATGGCGGTCTAAATGAGCACCCTTTTCTGCTGCGTTCTTAGCTCTAAACTGTATTTCCTGGGCCTCACACTCATAGGACACGTAGGTGACTGAGCATAGGCAGTGCCTTCCAGTTTTCAGTCCCATTGGAGAGAACCATTATGAGGGTTATCATGAGCTGAGCAATTAGCTAAAGAGGAGAGTTAAAATACAACACAAGAACAATATTCTGGAGCTTAAAAACCCTCCATAGAGTAAAACTTTAGGAAATGAATTAGAAGAGCATGTGATCACTGTCAAGACTTAGTTCAGTGGTTTGGAAACCACATGAAAGAGGTGTTTAAGTATACAGAGCATGCAGGTAGACCAGAGGAAGTCATGAAGGTAAAAGATGAGAGGATAGAGACAGGAGACATAATACACAAATCACAGGGACTTGTACTTACGAAAAGCTGTGGCTATATTTGCTGTGCAGCTGAAAACATGAAACAACTTTTGCTTGTGTAACAACTCAGGAGTGGACACAATAGTTGATAGGCAAACAGGAAGCCACCAAACAGGCCCGCACCTTTCTGAAGACAGAAACCACCCTTTAAAAGCCCATAAGAGTTTGGTTGGTGCCACGTGACCTTCCTGGAGGAAGCACAAAAGCACACCTGAGTATCTTTGGGGAGCCCGGTGCAAATGATGTTTCTGAAAGGCCATGTCTGGTCTAAGCAGATAAATGTGGCCAAGCATCCTGGGGAATTACATCATAAAGGAGTCCTAATCCATGTTCAGTGACAGGACCAGACAACCCTGGTAAAGGCAAGCCAGACAATCTCATTTGTTGAATTGTCCAGAAAATGGTTTCCTCCAGAGGGAGGGCATATACAAGAAATGGAAGACTTCCCTACAAGAATTCCCAGAAGAGGGAATTCATCCAAGGACAAAAACAAAGGGTGTACCAGGAAAGGGAAATCCCAGACAAAAGTTTTCACAAAAAAAAAAAAAAAGAAGAAGAAGAAAGAAAAGAATTGATAAGTTTCTTAGTATGACTAGCACTGTAGAAAATTATAATGAGTGGAGTGCATGATAGATGTATGGATAGAATTAGAGTCAAAGAAAATTAACCAGATACAGTAAATGCCAACAGCAGTTAAAGAAAATGATACTTTCCACTATAAAATCTTATACAGTCATTAAAAGAATGAATTAGAATTATACTAGAGAAAATAAGATTTCCATTAGATACCAGTTGCATGAGAAAAGCAAGATGCAAGTAGGAATACAGACTTTGTAAAACATGGTTAAAGAAAAACTTGTGGGTATAGAGGTTGGGGTGCACAGATGATCAAAACATGCATACAAACATTTTCCTTCTTTGTAAAATTATATGTGCATATGATTATAGATACAGATATAAAGGAAAATTGGGAAATATTTGCTGTATAAAGGGAATAAAAGCAGAAGGCCTGATTACATATAAATAATAAACTAAAATATGGACAAAGGTGTGGACGAAAAAAGAAAATAGTTATGTCAAAGTTGAAGTTAGTTTTGACTGATTTCTTCAAAGTATTCTTTAATTTTAAATATATAATGGTAGTGATCTAAAGATTTTTAATATAAATTCATGGAGTTTGATTCTAAACTAAATTTAGAAGGAAAACATTGAATGTACTTTTATATATTAAATGGGTTCATTAAAAAGGTACATATGTTTCCTACTTCAAGTGATACAAAAAAAGCCAAATGCATTGGGATGTTTTGAAATTTCGTTTCTGTATAGATTCTAATACAAGCTTGTTTCTAATTCTTCTATGCTAAGTATAAAATCACTCGTGTCTCTAAATTTAAACGTTTTATTAATAGTAATGACTATTATTAAGTTCTTAGTGTGTGTAATGTTTTTGAAATTGTATAATTGTTTTTATAATTTTTTCTAATTGTAGAGATTTAACTGTTAGTTTTCTTTATTTTAAAAAGGATAAACCAATCAAAGCAAACCAGTATAAAAAAATACAGCACTTCAAAACATTATGAAATCAATAATAGTTACCATAATGCCTTTTGATGTCTTCAAAATAGCTGCAGATAATTTCAGACATAGTAAAAGTCAACAGAACAGAATAGAAACAATAAAAACATAACAATGAAGGCAATAAAGGGCTTCAAAACAAGCCTATAGAAAATCCAAAATTGCTACCATAATATATCTTACTATCTTTGAGACAACTGTTCCTGCCATTAGATTTGACATAAACAAAAGAGAATAAAATACAACCCAACAAAACAATGGAAACCATAATAGGACTTCCAAAACAAGACTACAAGGAATCAACAATGGCTGCAACCCTCAGAAAGATTCCCCCTTAAATGCCACATTGCGTACCACTATCCTCTGAATCTATGATCAGACCACTGGCCATAGTCCTGCAATGTTAGTGCAACACAAAAACACCACAGGTATCCACCTGCATTTCACCTCCATAGCTATCATCACAGGCCTGTGTTTCTCCAGATAAGCCTGTTGCTTACAGTGGGTTGTTGTGTAGTGGGGGTACCTATTGTTTGCCAGCCTGTGCACAGGAAGGGCTGGGGTCTGTGTGTTCCAGTCCGGCAATGGCCCACATGTGGTGCTGGTTCTCAGACTGGGCTTGCTTGCTGTTGTGGTTTTGTTCTCTCTACCCCCAGTCCACGGATGGCGCTGACTCACGAGGAAAGGCCAGCAGTGACCTGCACATGGCATTGGTTTCCAGACTGATTTATTAGTTTTCTAATTACACAGGTAAAGGAAGAAACTAATCCACAAAGATAATTATTAATTTGCCCAAGATCCCAGAAACTAGGAAATTGTAGGACTTCAATTCAGGCTTTCTCCCAGCAGTAGAATACTAAATACCTTGTGATGTTCTCTGTCAACAAGGTGATCTATGCTCTGAATGAGACTTAAGCCAAAGGGAAACTGTCTTTGTAATTGGTCACAGGTAGGAAGTCATGGAATAGAAGCATCTTGGGCTGGCGGCAGAAATGGTCGAGAAGTCATGGACAGATTCTTCCCACTAGCCTCAGATCTACTTTCCCCAAGAGGATTATTCTATTTAGTTACCATAAAAGAAAATAACCCAGGTAATTCAATCCAGCTTATTGTTTAACCATTTACTTTGCTGAAAACAAAAGTTAATAATGTAAAAGACTGTAATTGATAAAGTAACATATTTATGAACTTAATAACTGACAGTACAGAAATGCATGTCAAAAGAGAGATTTTTTAGGTGGTTTTTTTTTTTTTTTTTTTTTGGTTTTAAAAATACTATCTTCAGCCAAGTGTGGTGGTGCACACCAGTAATCCCAGTATTGAGGCTGAGGCAGGAGGATTGAAATAATGTGAGGCCAGCCTGGGCTACATAGTGAGACCCTATCTCAAAAACCCCAAAATTAAAAATAGAAGTATTATCTTCTTTTTTGGAGTACAGTTTTTCTACCTATAAACTACTACTCAAATACAAATGCTATGATTTCTTCTAATACTTCACCCTCAACATTGTGAATTTTTTCTCTACTCATGGCCTTGACAATTCTGTTACACACTCTAATTCACCTGAAATTCTACCATGTAAGCACTCTGATTACATAGATGTTTGTATCGTGGCTTTCACATTACTTTATAACTTGACCAACTAGTATCTTTTTTCTATCCGCAGCTCCCCGGGTTACAATCATCATGATTACTACTTTTCTTGTTATTTTTTCTTTCTCTTCCCTTCTGTCTTTTTTGTGCATTTTGTTGGTTTAGTTGTTTTTAGTTTTATGTATAAAAGATTTTGCTTTTATTCCTAAGAAATAAGCTATTTCTTTCCCATTGGCTTTCACTGACAGCATTCCCATATCTTTGCCCATACCTTCCTTGACCTTTTCATCCAAAGGGAAGGGTATAGAACAAGGATTAGGCCAAGCCACTAAAGAATTTATCACTGATGGTAATAACAATTGTAGTTAACATTTCTGTTTGTCCCAAAGTAAGCTACCATTCAAACCCGGCCACAGCCACCAGCCTGATTACAACCCTCAGTGCTCAGGAACAGCTGAAGAGTACAGTGTTATCTGTCTGAAGTTCACGTTTACTTTACTTGATTTACATTATTTTGTCAAACTAATTTTTAAATTGTGTTTATCATATTAAAATATTTAGTAATCTTACATATGACCAAATGATACTAGATTTAACCTTTCCAAAAAAATTTTTAATTCTCTTTTAGAAGAAATTTTGAAAACACTGAAGACAAAAGGTCTGCACGGGACCACGGCACTTTCCAGACAGGCAGGTCAGGAAAGCCTGTCAGTCCTTAAGTTCACCAAGAGCTGATGAAGTGTGCCAAGGACTGCTGCAAACCGAATGCTTTCTGCATATTCTGAAACTGAAGTATCTTCTCCTGGAAGGAGTTTTACCAGAAATTTGTTTTCAAGAAAGAAGTGGGAAGGTGGTACTTGTCCCTCACTGGGAATCAGGTTTTTAAAAATACACTGTACATGTGCAAGTACAAATGCGTGTAGTATATTTATAACTTTAATTTTATATATAAAGTGATATATGAAGAGATACTCATTTCAGTACTAGTTCTAACAGAAAAACCAGGGAATCTTTCTAAACAGGAAGGAGATTGTTTAAAATGAAGTACACTATGTCTCACTGAATATATAGCCATTAAACACAAGTCAGGTCTGTTTATAGAGGAGTAGAAGGGACCTGTGACATATCATTGCTGGAAAAGAGCAAGTTATGGAGGTTTTATACGATGTGTGTACCAGCTCCCCTCAGTGAATGTATTCATCATGTACAGATGTACTAATGACAAATTTAAAATCATAAAAAAAGTGTTAAGAGACTTTGAAATTCTCCAAGACAGGTACTACATTTTCTACTTTTTTAATCCTTTTATCAGCAGTGCATGGTACATGGTGAATAATTATAAAACTTTTCTTGAGTTACTGTTTTGTTGAAAATCCTCTGCTTTTGCTATGATTAACAACTCTATTCTCACAGGACTCCTGTCCCCAGTTCCTGTCCTTCTCTCTCCCTAACTGACCTGCCCTGGTTCAAAAGCCCACTAACAAGTGGCCTCTCTGCAAGCTCCCTGAACAGTCCCTGCAGTGCGTGGAAAGTCAGACGGAATCCTGGACGATCTTGTGCCAGGATTTTCCTGCTGCTCCCCCCCAGGTCACCCAGACCCTCCAGCCTCCAGGGATTCTTTATCTGTGGAAAGGCGCTGCTTCGCTCTTGTACTGCAGAAGCAACTGAGTCAATGAACTTCAACTTCAAATCTCATTCCAAACGGAGACCAGGACAGAGAAACTGAACAAGATCACTACCTCCTACTTTTCAGAACATCTTTGTGCTGTGAGCCATTTTGTCAACTTCAAGAGATTTGTAGTTGGAACTCAGGAACCAAAGAACAATATAAAGTCTTTTAACCACTGACCATTTATCAGCAGTTACCAGATCCATTATTAGCAGAGCAGAGCCTGGGAAAATTATAGTTGTATGAAATCAATAAAAAACTGACTTTTCTTTAAAAAAAAAAAAAAAAAAAAAAGTGGCCCCTTCCTCTGCCACACCACCTTCACCTTCCCAGCCTGCACCTGTGGGAGGTGGCCTCCTGCTCAGCTGACAGCACCCTACAGTCCTGTTCACACATGACACTCTGGCACCAGAGCCCCTCTCTGGACACTCCTGAAGGACAGTGGTGAAGTGGTGAAGCAGAACTCGGAGCAGTGCACCTGGTTTTCACTTTGGAGGGGAAATGAGTTTGGCTTCATGGTCAGGGACTTGGAAGGGATATGATGGGAAATTTGGTGACAGACACTTGCAAAAGAGGCATGGCTAAATACCTCTACATAGGCAAAGGAAATAATTATTAATGGTTGACTTCAGCAGAGGACTTTAATTAAGTTGATGACTCATTCTACCAATAGTGGCCAATGTCTTTTCAAGCCAGTCCGGATATCCCAGTAGGTTCATGGAAAAAAGTGGCCATGGTGACAGAGATTGAAGTTATGCATGGGGTCAGCAATGTGGATTTCTATTTGCAGGGGCTGATATGGCTAAGTCTACTTCAGAGTATGCAGTCTGACAGCAGCAAAAATCAGCACTGAGCCTCTGAAATGCACCATTGCCTTGAGTGGTAGTTTCTCCCATGTCTGTCTGCCTTCCCAGCATGCAGTGCTTCTGCCAAAACTACCATCTGTGGACTTAAACCTCTTCCATCACCATAGTTTTCCACACAGCATCGCTTCTCATCCCGGAGCTCATTTCACACCAGACATGGCTGCAGGTTCATGCTAATGCTATTCACTGTCCTTACTGTGCTCCCTATCGTCCTGCAGCAGCTGGCCAGGAAGAACAGAAGACAGTTACCATATTAGCTAGGTGTTAACATCTTGAAAAGCCGAACCAGCATTGTCTAGTGCACATTACATGGTTTAAATCAAGTTTAAGTACCTGGACTATGTCATCCTTATTTCCCGATGAATGTAACTTTGTGTACATACAAGTGTTGCTTTATATAATTCTCTATCATTAATTTGTATCAACTTGTTTATAGCATATGTCATTAATTTTACATCTTAGTATTTAAAATTTTAGGGTATCAAGGGGCAAGAGTGAATTCTTAAAGACTTTACCTCTTCTGGAAAAGGAGTTACTGTGTTTTCAGTTGTAGGCAGGATAGTTCTGTCATGTTAGGTGGAATTATGATCTTGTTATTGTCTTTATTGGAGATTAAGAATGGTTTATTGGGGACTGAGCATGATCTAGGGATATGTGTGTTAATGACAAATTGGCTTGGGGTGGTTAATTTTGTATGTCAATTTCAGTAGGCCACAGGGTGGCCAGATAGCTGTTTAAATATTGTTTTGGGGTCTGTGAGGGTGTTTACAAGTGAGATTAGATACATAATATCTATTAGAACATCCTTAGGGTTTGGATCTGAAATATCCATCCTAAAAGCCATGTGTTGGAGGCCATCAACAGGTAGTGATATTGGAAACTTTAGAAGGTGGGGCCTAGCTGGAGAAAGTAGGTCATTACAGATCTGCCCTTGAAGGGCACTCTGGGATCTTGTCCCCACTTCCTGCAGCTGTGAAATAAGCAGGTCCCTCTGCCATGTGTGTCCCACTGTGATGTTCTGCCTCACAGGCCCAAACGTAGTGGACCCTACAGATACAGCCTGAAACCTCAGAGACTGTGAGCCTAAATAAATCCTTCCTCCTCCTGTTGATCTCAGGCATTTCGTCACAGCAAAGCAAAGCTAACGCAAACACAATTGATAAAAAATTTTTAATTTATGGATAATTATTAAGCAAAACATTTAAAATCTTACTGAAACGCCAAGAGTTGAGACTTATTTGTGGCACTTTCTTGTGCGTTATTTTGTTTCTCATTTTTCAAACTAGAATGATAGCAGTTGACATAAATTCTATTCCTTTTTTCCTTTTTATATGAGATCACTGAAAAAATTTTTATATAGTAGACAAGTCGATGAAAGAAAAGTTCCATAGTGACTCAATGTGTCCTCCATGTCACTAGAGTCACTAAAACTTTTCTAAGTAATAACTAAAGTAAAATAAATTTTAATGATTTACTGGCTGAAAGACAGATTAGACTCAAAGAACAGAGAACCAGTCAGTTGCCAAAAAAAACTGACTTGTTAGACATTACTAGATTCTCAGTATTAGGTATAATCAAAATATTTAAATTTTTAAATTATAGCAAAAGATACATTACTGTTATTTCCCTCAATATGTACTAGTTTCACTTATTCTTGCCACTTTTCTGTTTAGCTGTGCTACCGTGACTGCTTTAATGTCCTAAATGGATTCAAAATATTTACCTTTTATGGTCATTTTGATTTGGGGGAAGAGCCAGAAGTCACATGGTGCCAGATCCAGTGAATGTTTTTCAAGCCTGCCTTTCTGTTGGATGGCACTCACTAGTATATTTATTATCATACTTCAAACTCAGAAGACTACTTCCAGAACTGCTTCAGAAAGTGACAACAATAAGGATAAGTGAAGCGAGGGGGAGCATTTTGAGAATTAATTGCAATGTCTTTTACTGTAATAAAACTTTAAAAATTTAAACAACTGTGTATCTTTTATCGCACCCATACACTATTTCAAATTACCTTTACGGATTCCAAAGGTTGTGGTGTTCCCAACTTCAACGTTGTAAAACTGAATGTGTAAGTTACATCTTTGTTCTAAAGAACAAGGACATATGTGTAAAAGCAGCAAGAAAAGGAAACCAGCCTAAGAAAAGTCAGTAAATGGTAAGACCACGTTTTGGAAAGAATATATAAAAAATAGAGGAAAAAAACATATTCATGTTGTTTGAAGGGTCTTAAACCAGGTGCAGAGGAGCATGCTTGTAACCCCAGCACTGAGCAGCATGTGGCAGGGGAACCATGAGTTCAAGGGCAGCTTAGGCTTCACAGCTGAGACCCTGTCTGAAAACAACCAAAAATGAAAACAAATCCTAAAACAAACCAACACCCCTGAAAAGCCTTGGTGTGTACCACTGTGCTAAACCGTTTTCAAGGAAAGGATACAGTAAACATTAGGTATGGAATTTAAGAGTATCACTGCTAATTAACAGGCAACCACTATGTATACTGGCCAATGTTAAATACATTTATCTGAGGGAAAAGAGAGAGGCTAGACATAAGAGATACCCACCCCTTAAGGAGCCTTTTTTTGTAGGGCCGTACAGTCTACCATAAAGAGACTGGTAGCTCTTGGCTAAAAAAAAAAAGTTTAGTCCAAGTACTAATTCCTGTTTTTGTTTTTTTACCCTGCAGCAAATTGAATATGATAAAGTTTCTAAAGGTGTCTTTTGTGAACTGAAATTGTTTTAAAGACTACCAAGTATTCAAAGTAAAAGGCCTAAATTAAAATCCAAGTAAAATACATAACAAAATCCCTACACCAAGACAGACAGTATCCTAGAAGAGATCAGATGGAAAGGGAGGAGAGCCTGCTATGAGCTGGCTCAGTGCTTTATCCCAGCCTTGTGTCATTTCACGCGTGAGTAAATGTCTCTCAAAGTCCTACACAGATTGAGATAGGTACAAGTTTCCAAAAAGTGCTCAGCTAGAAATACTAAAATATTTTTATGTTCATATATCATTGCTGTAAAGGTTTTACAAGCTCAAGAAAAAAATGAGGTTGAGTGTCACAGAGTAATTTAGGCAACATTTCCTCCATTGGAACCAAACTGTGGGGTTTTTTATTTTGACAAGACTTATCAGGCTACTTTAGCAGAAAAATGAGATTTAGTTACAGGCACAGAAACAAGCCAGGTGTGATAGCATATGCCTGTAGTCCCAGCACTTGGTAAGCTGAGGCAGGAGGATCACCACCAGTTCCAAGGCCTGGGCTACATAGAAAGTTCAAGGCCAGCCTTGAATTACACAGTCAGACCCTGTCTCAGAAAAACACCACCATAAAACAGAGATGGAGATAAACTGGGAAAGTTACCAAAGCATTAAGAATTTGAAGAACGGGCCAGGATTTAGCTCAGCTGCGTAAGTGCCTGCCTAGGGGCAAGCATGAGGTTGTGCGTTTGATCCCGGCATTAAAAAAAAAAAACAAAACTTTGAAGAATTAAGACAGTCCTATATGTGAGACAAATATGTGGCAGTTGATTTCTCTTTGAGGCAACTACTAATTCACATACAATAGCCTAGAGCTGAAAGCTCAAAAGTAGAGGGAAATGAACAGAAAATGATGACCTAGGGATTGAAAGATAAGAACTTTACAGGTCTGGGAATACAAAAGCTGTTGAGTCGGGATCAGCCAAGAAAGAACACTGAATAAAAGAATGCTCAAAAAGAGTGAAGCTGTTTTTTAATTAATGTTCACTTTGCTAGCACAAAGTAAATTATGTCTAAAAGAACATCAGACTAGGTAGGAGCTGGGAATTTAGCTCAGCACACAGCACCTGCCCGGTCAGTAGTTCAATCCTCAGTACCAAGGGGAAAAAAAAAACCATCAGACTAATCTTTGAATGCCTGGATTTTTGACTGAAGTTACTAACTGGGCATACATTTGCGCATTTCTCTTGCAGACAGATGAGGGCATGGGAGTAAACTGTTCCCAATGGAATGTTAGTAAAATAGTTGTTTGACTGCTAAGGAATATCCTCACAGCAAGGGAACACAGTTTCCTTGTTCTTCCTTTATGCTGACTGAAAAATACAAAAAAATGTCTGGAGCTTGAGCACTCAGATTGGATCATGAAGTAGTCACAGTTGGAAACACCATAGAGCCACGGGACAGAAGAAACTAGATCCCTGATGGTAAAGGCACTCTTTAGCAGGCCTGAACTGATTTGGACCTCATGAGCAAAAGAGAGATGAATTTTTTAAACCATATTTTGTTTTTATTTCATTCAGACCCAAACCTGAGTTCCCAAAAGCATTTCCCAAAAGAATGTATTTTTTATGCATCCCAAAGATAATTGCTTTATTATTTTTAGCTGCATTTTCCTTTGTTTTTATTTATTAGTACAATAAACCCTGATCACATAGAAACTATCACAAAGAATCAATAACTGGGATCTGATCTTATTAAAAAGCTTTGGCACAGTAAAAGAACCCACAGAGAAAAATACAACTCACAGTGTGGGGAAAAATTTTTGCTAGCTGTTCTTAGAAAAAGGACTAATATTTAGAACATATAAAGAACTGAAAAATTCAGACCCTCCAAATTCAAAGACCCAGTCCAAAAATAGGCATCTGAGATGAATAAGCATTTCTCAGAAATACAAATAGCAAATATATGAAAATTAAAGAATAGTACCATTTTTCTAAAAGTATATTTCAGGTTAGTATTCACAATATACAGAAATACTTCTGACAAGAAAATGGGACTTAAAAATGGACAGAGGGCTTTATAAATACTTCTCAAAAGAAAATGTATAAATAAAACAGGGTTTAATATACTAGTCACAGGCCGAGGGATATAGTTCAGCAGCAAAGCACCTGCCTGGCAAGTACAGGGTTTTGAGTTAGATCCGTGGTACCTACCAATAAATAAAAAATAATAAAAAATAACATACTAGTGGTTAAGGAAATTCAAATCAATGAGATACCATTTCATATTCATGATGACTATAATTTTTAAACGCACAATAACAAGTATCATTTGGTGTGGTGAAATTGGACTCCTCTCACACTGCTAAGTGGAAATATGTACTGTAGATGCTATGAAAACTGTTTAGTAGCTTCAAAATGTTAACCACAGAATTACTAGCAGTTCCACTCCTATGTATGATACATTCGAAAGAACTGAAAACAGGTAATAATACAAATACTTGTACATGGATACATGAATTCATGTACTTTCCTTAGATTATCATTAATCTTCTTTTCATAGGTACATACACATATATAAAGTTAGCTCCATACTAGCCAATACTATAGGCCACTGGCCATATGTGCTTATTGAGACTTGAACTGTGGAAGTGTAACTGATGAATTTAAAACTTGTAGTTAAATTATATTAACTTAAATGTGAAAGTGGACATGATCCAGTTATTGAAAATTTTAAATGGTTTTTAGACTTGGGTGTGTTAGTTCACTTTTTCAACTGTACATTTTCTGAAACCTAAATACAGATCACGTAACTAATGAAAATTTCATATCTAAACTGAACTTTGCTATAAATTCAAAACACACAATATAAAATTTAAGTGTATAATTTAATATAAAATTTAAGTGATTCCAAAAACTTAATATAAAAAACATGTAAAATACGTAGCTAATAATTTTCACACTGCTTACATGTTAAAATAACATTTTGGATAATCTGAGTTAAATACAATGTGCTAAAATTAATTTCACCTATTTTTATATTTAATGTGCCTACTAGTAAAAGTTAAAGCTAACACATGTGGTTCACATATTTCTATTTAAAGTGCTTGTTTAGTCCATATTCTTAGGCAACAATTCTCAACCAGAGCCAACTGTACTCAAATGTCACTTGGCAGTGCCTAGACATTTGTAGTTGTGACAACTGAGGTGGCACAATGAATTTAGTGAACAGAAACCAGAGATCCTGAGAACGCTCCTCCAATGCATATAACAGATCCCAGGACCTCATCATCAGTGAAAATGCCAAGTGCTGAGAATAAGAAACTGCTTTAACAATTTCTCAAAGCATGGCCCACACCAGAATTCTAGTCCCTTAGAGCCCTTCCTTTGTCCTAATAGCTTATCTTCCCTTGCATCAGAGAAACAGAAGCCCAGCCGACTTAGTTGAAGCATCTTTGGGTCTTGTGCTAAGTTCACCTTTAAACCTTACTGCATCTTCCACAGCTCACACCACAGTGGTGAAAGGATGGATTCCTACCAGGATCAGGAAAAAGACAAAGATGACTGTTTTTACTACTTCATTTAACACTAGAGGTTTGGCCAACACAGTTAAGTAGGATAAAGTAAAAGGCACCTAGATTTAAAAAGCAAGATTATCCAGGAGTGGTGGCACATGGCTGTAACCTAAGCACTTGGGAGACTGAAGTAGGACTGCTTCCAATTCAAAGCCAGCGTGGGTTACACAGCAAGACCCTGTTTCACAGCTTTGAAAAAAAGAAAAAGGCAAGGCAATAAACTCTTAGAAAATTCTAAGAAATACATTAAAAAAATTACTGCAACAAAAGTGTTCAGCAAATCTGCAAGATGTAAGATCAACAAACAGGTAAAAATCTTAACGGTACAACATAAAAATCGCTTCCTCCTCCTTTTCCCAGTGTAGCTTCCCATTCCCTGCTATGATAACCCTCTGAAATCCAAACTCTTTAATACCCTGAGGTGGTAAAAGAGAAACCTATGGCTATGCTTCCGCAGTCTGACACAGGTCCATGCCCAGAATACATTTTGAATACTACTCTCCAAATGCTCACAGATATTGCTTGTTAGTGGACCTTAAACAATGAAAAGCAATGCCAGCCAGGCTCCATGACACCAGCCTCTTAGAATCTGGTGTTTTCCTAGATGCCAAATATTCTGCAGTGGGCAAACTCATATTCATCTTTTGGTATGCTGAACTGAGAATATCCAATGTTATTTTTAAAATGGCAAATGAATT